AAAGAAAGAAAAAAACAAATTATAACAAATTATAACGAATTATAATAAATTATAATAAATTATAACAAGATTAAAAAGATAAAAAGAATGAAAATAAGTTAGGGGAATAGTAACACGTTATTAATCCAATGATAAATGCAATAATAATGAATGAATGCTTATTTACGAGAAATTAATTCTTTTAAAATCATTGTAATCGTTGTTTGTGAAATCAAAGGAAACCCTAATCCATAAATGAAACATAATTAACATGAGCGAATAATTAAAAAATCATATCAAACTATATATCGATACATGAGTCTAGAATAATTTTATTCTTATTATCATAAATCATTTCTATCCCTTTTCTAATTGGCGCGCGATTTTCGGAATTAAAAATAAATTAATAAAATTTAAATTTTATTAATTTATTAAATGCTGATTTGTGTGACATTATAAATTTAATTACTATATATTATATGTATATAGATAATCTTATATTTATGTAGCATAGTATATATTTTATTGTTATTTATAGTTATTTACTGTTTATTTACGTGTAACAGGGAACTTTCTGCTATCCAGTGTAGAATTACCCTGATCGAGTTGGTGAAAGGTGATACTACGATCTAAGATTAAAGATAAAGTTATTTCGCAGAATCAAAAAAAAAAAGTAAAATGAAATGTCGCACAAGCACAATTTGTACAAATATACAATATGAAAAAATATATAAGCAAGCAATCACGTTAATCAACATATTTATTTGTTATTTGTTTCTTACAGGGTCCTTTTTTTTTTTACTGAAACAAAAGTTTCGAAAAAAATAATTAAAATAATGCATTAAAAAAAAATAATGAATATTGCACCAAAGATAAATACTATCAATAACTTCCAACAAATTGATGCCCTCCTCAAATATTGCATTTATTGCGCATTTTTGTTGCGTAACCAATTCCATTTCTTAACTTTCGACATGATATTCCTAACATAGAGTTTTTAAATAATGCCAAAATTTTTTTTTTTTCAATCCATTTCTTACATTTATCGAATTCTTTATTGGTAAATAAAAATAGATTATCAAAAAATCCGAAACATTCAAACACCTTAATTAAGCGTATTGTTCCCCTTGTTTTTTTTACGTTTCACTCTCCTCGAAGTTTTGATAAATATTTTTTATTAATGTTTATTTTTAATAATTAATCTTATTTCATTTTTGAATCTCCCAAGTCCGATAGGCATATAATATTATATTAATTTCTATTAATTTTTTTAATTAAATTTTTATTAATTTTATTAAATTTTTATTATTATTTATAATATTTATAATATTATTTATTATTTATTATTTATTTTTTAATTTATCCATAATTTTCAGTTAAAGAAAATCCTATTGGACAAAATAATTACGCAAAAAAAAAATATTTTATATTATTTGCATCCAAAATAATAATAACTAATATTAATGAGAAATTATAATATAATAATTATGAAGGTGATAGTAAAAGAATAGTTATAATTAACCTAGAGAGAGAGAGAATGATTAATTAAACAACAATAATAATGGATTAAAAAAACGTCACACATGAATTCTAATTTGACTGTTAATGGTAAAAATAGTGTTAAATAACTTTAAATATTTATAATAATTTAATTAAAAAATATTAAACATTTATTATCTAAGATTCATCGAGGATTAATTCTCTATACGCTCGTGTAATTTTTAAAAATATTTGTTTAATAAAGAATAATTTAAAAAATTAATTATTTAATAGCGATAATAAAAAATTTATCAACCAACCAGTGTATATTGCGGATCTAAACAAATGATCCATATTTCTTGGAGTCTCAGCAGCAAAATCTTTCCTCTGGACTTTTATTTGATAAAAAAAAAGAATTGAAGTCTGCGTTTATTAATCAAAAATTATGGAATAATTTCGTGTTACTTAAAATTAGTTTTGATATCTATTGTTGATATATTATCTATTTTTCTAAGGTTCAGTGAAACAATAAAATAAAACAAATTTCATAATATCATATTTTGATTGGTACGCGTAATCTTAATGTAATTGAATAATTAATTTTCAAGAACCTTTATTTTGCCCTTTAAATTATTAGACAAGATAAATAAATATCATGACTGATAATTTATCCATAAAAAGATCGGGTTCCACCCGATATATTTGTGATAATAATAAATGATAATATATGATAAATAATAAAGTAAGAGAAAAGTTGTTCTTCATCCAGGGTGAGGAATAAATTTACTCTACATTCTCTCGTTATAAACTTGAATGAACTTTAAAAAAAAAATTTCACTCTAAAACTTTTCTTTTCTGTTTAACCTAATCAAGCCAAAAAACTATGTCTTTAGTCATTATTGCATATTTAACATAATCAACATATTTTATTTATAAATCGATTATGATTAAGTCATTCGGAAATTCCAAAGTTCCAATTTTAGATTTTTTTTTTTTATCAATAATCTAACCTGATCTATCGTAACCTCTCTTAAACTATCGTTTAAATTCGGGAATAGATAAATGTAGTTCCCAAAAAACCATAAAAGGTTTATTCTTTAGAACAAGTTTCTTTAAAAGGATAACATCTGATTCCTTTCATTATTTGAATTATTATCATCCAATAATAATTTATTTTGAACAATAGAATTATTTTAGAGATCGGGAACATAAAAACTACGCATTTATTTAAGATAAGGTTTAGATTATGCATTCTTTTCATTTGTTCTCTATTTTTCTTTATTAACGCATTTTTTTTTTTGGTTTCTTGTATTCTCTATATTTTTTATTTGCCATTGGATTTACTATATATTTAATCTATTAACTTTGTGCAAGTATGCACAAAAAAGATTTCGCGTGGAATATCCTGAATACAACAGAAATGAAATAATTAATCGGGAAATCTTCTTTTATTTAAATATACACACGCACACACACTTACACATATAAATAATTCATGACAAAATCCTTTAATCCTGTTAGTTTCGGTTCATCCCGCGTTTTTTTTTATATATCGACAAATTTATTTATATTTCGCATTTATATTTTATATTTAAACTTCACATTTAAACTTCACGTTTTTATTTACATTGAAAAAAATTGTAAAAATTAAAATTCTCGTTAAAATATTTATTATTTAAATAATTTTAATAAATAAATAATAATTGTAATAAGTTTTACATAAAAGTTTTTATTAATTCCCAAACTGAATCAAGGGGTTAAAGTCAAATGTTCGAAATTAATTATTTAGGCAATACACGTAATGCCTTCTGTGAACAAACACGAAAACAAATTAAACCAAAGATGTTAAAGTCAATAAAAGTCAATAAAAGTTCACGACACACAATATATAACTTTAAAAAAAAAGAAATCAAATCAAGACTTTATCTGGTATTTGGATTCTTTGCCTTTTTTGTTAAAATGTTTCACAGAAGATAAAGATGATGTAAAAGGTGAAGAAAAAAAAAAGATAAAAAATTTTAGATATGAAAATTAATCAAGAGATACATATATACGCGTATAACTATAAAAAAAAACTAAACTATAAGTTATAAGTAAAAATTATCTCTATTATTATAAATGTATTTTGGCCAATTTAATTAAGAGAAATTATTGGTACATTTTAATTTTCTATTATAAAAATTATTTGTTCTTTCTATTGTTTCTCCATTTAATATATTTTATATATATAATATATATAATGTATATGTATATTATATATAATAACTTGATAATAACGATAAATAATAACTTGATAATAAAAATAATAAAATAATAAGAATAAATAATTTCATGTGAATTATATAAATTATGGATTTCATGTGATCATCTATTGAATGAATATAATGAATATAGAATTTAGAATGAATATAATGAATATAGATTTAGAATAAATATTATTATTTATTATATATTATATTTATTACATGTAATAGATTAATTATTTTTATAATATTATATTATTTCTATTTGTGATAATTGGTGATATGTAATTGGGATAACCATAAATTATTATAAATTACATATCTTTTTCTTTCTTTTCTTTTCTTACCCTTCTCTTCCCCTTTCTCATTCTCTTCATAATCTTCTTTCTTCTTCTTTCCTCTTTTATTTTTATCCTTCTTCCCACGCTCAAAAAACGCGTGAATCGTGATTTTAAAAAATCAAATCACAAACACGCGTTTTATTTTTTATGGTAAATCTTATTTTTTTGTGGTATGAAGTTGATTATTTATGGTTTAGTTCATAAATTTGTTGATCATGAAAGAATAATGTTACCAGGAAACAAGTTTTGCTTGTTATTTTTTTTTTTTTGTTTCTTTTTGGGAAGTCCTCATCTTGAATGCTTTGCACAAATGTAATCAGGGAAAACATAATTGATTATGATCATCACTAATTTTTTACGAAGGAAACTCCATTGTTTATCAGATGATCTCTGATATTTTTAAAGTAATTATCTAATTCCTAAATATTAAAATAAGTTTCTTGATAAAGAAGTGTATTATGATCACAGTGATAGAATGTTTTTTTTTAAAGAATGTTTATTGATTCAACAATCTATTACTTTAATCCGAGCCATCAAAAATATGACTTGTTCAGATTTGGGAACCATTGAAAACAATATATAATTTTTATTCATTTTGAAGTCAAAGTTCAGAAGCTTTTTTCATAAAAGTGTTTGTTTGCAAACTTATTAATTGAGAACTTTGTTTCTATATGGAATTTAGATAGATAAATCTCATGTAATGTTAATGATAAATTCAATTATAAATTTTTCAGATATTCCGAAAGTTTAATAATTTTTATAGACTTTTTTAACTTGAGCTTATTTTTTTTTTTTATTTTTAAATCAGATGAAAACATTACTTAATCAAAATAATTATAATTCATCACAATTACAAATGTGACGTGTGTTAAACATATTAGAATTAATAGTAAAAAATATATATATATATTTTTTTGTATTCACAGTTGTCCAGTCACTACCACAACTGCACAATATATCACACTTTCAAACAATGTTCAATTGTTGACTGAAGGAGTTCTTCGTCATGTATTTTTTTAATTGGGTTGTTAATGCTAACACCACAAGGCCATAAAATATAAGGATCGAGATATGGTGGATAATTCGTTTCATTTTCTTTCCCTCCAAAAACAAAATCTACAATTTTTACTTTTATATTATCATCTCTACTATTTTCCTCTTCTTTCTTGTAAAAAATATTTTTCGCCCGTAAATTACCGTGGACAAATCCTTCACTGTGAATCTCTTTAACTACATCATTGATTTTCTCCTGAAGCCTCATTTTTTGATCTGTTTCAAGTGGAGGTTCCAAAGGTTTTGGAAATTTCGTGTAACCTATGTAATCTGCTGATAATTTTTTCAATGATTTGTAATCCGAAAGATATTCCATTATCACCATTTTCCAATCACAATTAATTTTCTCATACCCATAGATCATTGGAGCAATACCCTTATTTGCACAAATTTGATGCATTTCCAATCCATATCTTGTAACAAACTTTACAATTAAAAATTCCGGGATATTACAGAAATCATTAACCACTGTTTTAACGATATATATAAAATTATTATTAGTTAATCTTTTTTCATATTTAAATCGTATTTCACATTCACTATCAAACAACTTAAATGAAGTAACATAGGGAAATTCCGATGGTACAGTCTGATTGGGAGAATCATAATATTCTTTTAATGATTGAACAGCTTTCTTAAGAGCAAGCAAAATCCTTCCAATTATTTGTGTTCTCTTTGGTTCAGTTGATTCAAAACGGTCTAATGAAATTTCTGTTAGACTTTCAATTAAATAATAATAATTGTAATTTCTATCTTCATAAAAAGCACCAGCAATCCTAAGGTGTGATGCTGGTAAAAAAAATAATGATAATAAAAAATTAGTCAAAATACATATATTGTACATAGGAATTTATTGATACTAACCAGTCAGACATAAAAGAAGGCACGGTAAACGTGTTTTTTTTTGAATAATTGATTTCTAAACTTTGGATCCATTTACAATAATATATACAAGCTTGTCGAAAGGTATTACCAGCCTCGTCATTATTGACCACAAGAATCACAGACACATTGTTTCCTTGAAAAATGCAACCATCCGTAGAATAATCTTCATTGTTTGTAGAAATTACACCCAAATTTAATATAAAACCTAAATGCTTATTAACAAGCTTACGAAATTTGTCTCGTCGGTAGGATCTATTATCGTATGTCGCTGACATTTCATGAGTAAATTCTGTCACCATAATGTGAGAATTAAATTCCAAATCAATTGTTTCACAATCATTCACAAAATTTGCAAACACAGGGTGGTAGAGTACAATTGGAGGAGGTCGAGGTATTCGTTTTTGACCAATACGCAAAAATTTAAAATTTCTATTTTCAATAGACAATCTTTCCCCTTCTCTTTCGATACCATCAGGAAGCTTTTCGGTTTTACGTTTTTGTTCTACATTTTTAATAATTAAAGTTGTAAGCAATATACCAAATGATTATTCAAAAATGAATAAATAAATAAACAATTGAAAACAATTTTTGTATATTTTTTTATGCAGTTTGTTCATTACCTTTTTCTTTATTAAAATCAACAATTAACGCATCTTGTAACTTGATTACCTGTTCCTCCCACTTCTTTTCTTCGATTAATCTGTTGTCTATCCAAGTTACCAAATGATTATTCAAAATTAATAAGTAAATAAACAATGGAAAACAATTTTTTGTATATATTTTTTATGCTGCATGTTCGTTACCTTTTTCTTTATTAAAACCAACAACTAACGCATCTTGTAACTTGATCACCTGCTCCTCCCACTTCTTCTCCTTCTCCTCCAACCATTTTTTTTCTTCGATCAAATTTTTTTTCCGATTTTCCCACAACTTAATATCTGGTTTTAAACAACTTATATTCACCATATTCTCCGACTCTTTTAATTTCTCCTTACATTCTTTTAACTCCTTTTCGGCCACTTCTAATTGTCTCTCTGCTTTTGTTAATAGTTGTTCGATCGTTGTCATTTTTATCTGTGAGTAAAGAAAATATAAAAAATTTTTTTAATCTATGATTAATTAGAGATTCGACCAATAGTAAACGATAAAAAAAAAATTGTCAGAAGCCATTGATTATCACCAATTCTTTCAATTCTTTGGTGAGCACTCTGACAAAAAATCCAACTTTAACTATTTATTACCGTTATTCTTTTTCGATAATAATATTATCATTAATATTTGTATCATCTTTGATTTCATCACCTTCGTCATATTCGATTCTCCATTTATTCTTTCTTTTCTTTTCTTTTCTTTTCTTTATCAACCCATTGCTGGAATGCTTCTATCGTTTTCCTTCTAGACTTAGTTTTTTTTGTTTGATAGAATTTTTAACAATAGAGGTAGCAACTCCTTTTCCTTCAAGTAATACAAGAACCTCAATTGCCCTTCTATCTGATAATTGCTTCACGAAATTTCAATTATTTCCTTTTAAACAACCAGTTTTATCTGGTCAATATTTTTTTCGAGGTCTATTTCATTAATTATTTTATCTTTTGTTTTTATTAGAGATAATTTTTTATAATAAGGAAAAAGACCAAAGAAAGTTCGATTAATAAATTCAGTGATAAAGGGATAAATATTTTTTAAGAAAATTTAGTGTCAGTTTTATTTTTTAAATTAAAAAGATTTAATTTTTGATTTCAGGTTTTGTTTTTTATAATTGTGAGCGTCAACAAGAGTAATGGTTATGATTTTAATATTAATAATATTATAATAAAGAATTTTATTTGAATTTATAATTCTAATTTTTTTTTTTTGAATTTTATAATTTCTAATTTTTTTGTAGAAACGTGAAAGAATTTGGATTTGGTAGTACAAGCGTTCGCTTTGTCCTTTAAACCCATTTATAAAATTTTCTATTATAATTCTTTCCCTTTGTAAATATAATTTTAGTATAAAATAATTTTAGAAATAATTTATAGAAAAGTAATGCTATTACATTATTTCAGTAATTCAATAAAAAAAAATAATATCAGTGTAAAGAAAGATATAAAACAATTTATTATGATATAACAAAAAAAAGCTTTTATAAAAAATTTGGGCTTCTGTAAAATTTTTGCTTTTAAAATTTAAAATTTATAAAATGGAGGAATATAGATTTAATATTAAAAAAAAATTAATATTATTTTTGTATTAATCTTATTAACATTATGAATTTAATATTCCAAATATATAAATTTTTTTTTATGACTGAAGGATCTAAAAATTTCAAGATTGATGATAATAATAATAATAATAATATTCTAAAGTAAAATATAAAATTTATTAAGAAATAAATAATTTTAAACTTACCTTACAAAAAAAACCCAATTAACAATTTATTATTGATAATGAACACATTTATATTATTCATGATTTTTCCTAACATTTGCATCCAAAGAGAGATAAATATAAATATTTATAAATATCAAAATAAAATCATTTTGAAAAAATAAATGAATATAAACCTTTAATTATTTTTTAGTTATTTTAATTATTTTAATTATTTTTTAATTATTTTTTTAATTACTATTTTTTAATTATTTGATAATAAGTCATATTCCTCATCGGAATCCTCTTCATATCGCCTACGTGAATACTTTAAAGTAAATAATATTAATAAATATATCATTAAGAGAGAAATATATTCTTTAACATATTTTTTAAATGTAAATACCGTAATTTTCTTCTCAGGCTTTTGTTGTTGATTAATTTGTTCCAAAAGATCAATTAACTGTGATTCACTAACTTTTCCACGTAATTGTCCTGTTTGTGCCATGCGAATTAATAGATCTTCAACTGAACGAGCTTTATCAACTTTTACCAGTGAAATTCTTGCAACTACAGTGACCGAGTAATTTAGTGAATAATTTAGATAATTTGTAGATGATTTATATATGAGGATATAAATATATAAATAAATTTACGTCTCTCTCTAGCCTCATTGTCAAGAATTTGGGCCAACTATTATAAAATAATTATAAAATAAAATAATTATAAAGATAATTCTAAAATAAAGAATGAAATATTTTGAAATTTATAAATTTATTTATATACCATTGTTTGCCGTGTTTCTTCAAGTTGGCTGCAAAAATTAGCCAACTTAAAAATCTTAGCCAATTTGAAACATTTTAATTTAATATATCAACGATAAACAAATAACATTTATTCGGTTGACTATTACCGTTTCTTGTCGCCTTCATCCTCCGAAGACTTGGTTTCACTCTGTAATTTTTGATTTGTTGAAAATTTTATTTATATTCTTATCCATAATATTTGTCGTTTACATATTTCAATAAAAAACATACTCCTGAAGCTGTTCCTGCTTGCAACTCGCGTAATCTAGCTTGACGAATAGCCTGAAGTTCTGATTCTTCCATTTAAGCAAAGAATTGAAAAATGTAAAAAAAAGTGTATTTATTTGTATTCGATCAGATGAATTGTGTAGTTACACAAAACTGACCATTTGTGTTACTCTCGTTGGAGTATAATTCAAGAAATCATTATTAAGTTAGCAGATGCGTGGATTATAATTATACCAAATAATATTACAAAGTAAATATATACAGTAAATATTAAACTAAATATACAGTAACTAATCAATAGTTTCAATTGACCCTTTACTTTTAGATCTTGAGGCATTTTTTGTTAAGAAAAAGATAAAAAAATTTTTATTAAATATATGTAAAAATTTAATTTTTTGCATTTATACTAGTTAATTACCTTTTTGACCTTAGAGAAACTTTTTCTCTCATATATTAAATAAATTTCTATTGTTAAAACTTCATATTTATTTTTAGTTCATGAAGATTTTGAAAAAAGAATCGTATTTAGATAAAAGTTCTAATAAATTTTAAGTGGAAAATTATAAATTAACCATTATATAAAATCAAAATACTAATAATCATGAAATTTCCTTTAACTGTAATCTACAATTTATACCTGATATAAAAACTATGAAAGTATATTTTAACAATAGACATGATTTATTAAAAATCAATAGTATATAAAATAAATTAAAAGAAAGTGTACCTAATATATTTCTATAATGAAATTATAACTGTACACTATTTTTCCAATTACAACTTATAAGAATACTCAATCAGATTTTCTAGTTTACCACAATAATCAAATGGAACATTGTAATAGCAAAGATGATGCCTAGCAAAAAAACTTCATTATCTGTTCAAGTTCACTTATCAATCACAATTAGTACCCTTAATGAATTAATTTACAATTATAATTCCAAACTCCTGAATCAAGTTAAAGGTATAACTCTAACTCCAAATTGAATCTAATATATAATTCTATTTTTCAAATTAGTCTAAAATAAAAAATAATTAAAAAAAAATAGTTACTAATTTTATATAATATTTTTATTGTTGCATATCTCTGAAACTAATACAAAAATTATCATAATAAATAATAATAATAAAATTTATTAATATAGTAAATAATATTAAAATAGTAGTTTTCAAAAGAATATAATATTTATTTGAAATTTTTATTGTAAAATATCTCAGAAACTAATACAAAAATTATCATTATAATGTAAATAGAATATATGTAAATAATACAAGAAACAACTTTTATTAATACTGTAAATAACATTAAAACATTAGTAAACTAACAAGTTAAAAATTATAATTTAAACTTATAATATAATACATAATTTTCATCTTAACAGTGAATAGATTTTTAAATTATTTTTGTATACAGTCTGATCTCTCTATAGTTATCTCCTTAATAACCATATCATATAAAAATTCTCTTTATAATCACATCAATTTTAAAATTAGCTATTATGAATATATAGAAAAAATCTATCTATATAAGTACATTTTTAAAAAAGGTATTATAATCCTTATGGTATAATTATAGAGGTCCAACTGTATTATTTTCAAACACTTTTAAGTACTAACTATTATTTTTAATTGCTTTTTATGATGATTTTTATAATGTTTCAGGTGGCACAGTACTATTCTATAGATCTAGACAAGAAAGAAGAATAATTATATAGTTTAAAAGGATTTACAGAATTGTAATTGGATAATACTTCATTTATTTATTAGATTATCTAATTTTTGAATATTTTTAATAGGTTTTTATTACTTCAAAAGAGTTATAATTAATAATTTGACTATTTTAAAATAATAAATTAGTTATTTTATTAATAATCAATTTTTATTTTTATCAAATATGACTAAAGATTATTAGAATTATTTAAAATAAAATAATACTATTAATCTTATTTTGAAATAAAACAATTAATTTTAATAAAATAGAAAACAGTTAAAAATTTCAATAAAAAATTTTATATAAAGTTAATATAAAAAACAATTGTATATTTTTAATTAAGATTTTATAAACTTTTTATAACATTTTTATAATATTTCAGAAGTTCCTGAAATATCAACATTGATAAAAATCATTTATTAATTTATTAACCAATCAAATTATTTAAAGTAACCTATAACCTTAAGTTATTAACTAATACATTACAAATTATATATATATAACAAAACTATATTAATTATATAATGAAAATCTGATAAAACTAAAAAACCTTTTTCAATTTTCTATTTTTAAAAGTCATTTGGCAAAATAGTTTTAACTGTTTTGCTTTTGCCAGTTAACAAAATTTACAGGTTTTAATAGATAACCTTAATTTGAGATCAACTATACCATTAGTTAACAAGTCATCATAGATTAAATTGTTAATATCTACATCTTATATTTTCTCAAGAAAACATTTATATACTAATGTATTTGTTTTTTGATAATTTGAAATTGATAATATAATTAAATATATTTGATTTCTAGTAAAATAATATATGTTCAAAATACCTGTAGTTTATCTTTTATATTATTAATATTATGGATAACATGTACTTTTTAATCTGAAGGTTTATCAGTTTCAAATCTTTATAAACAGAATAATTAATACATTTTTCTTTGGTATATTTCATTTTAAAAAATATATATCAAATCAAATCTTCATCTATAATATTTTTAATTCTTTTTATAAATTTCACATCTGTAAAAGTAATATTCACATTACTGAATATTCAAAAAATAAAATTTATTCTATTATACTTATATATATATCAAATATTAGATCTATATATAATATTTATTTATATTACAATCTTCTTGTCAATATCACTATTACTTATTGTTTTTACATATTACAATATAAAAAGAAAATTTCTTACAAATAGTTATTGCTACTCATCATCACTTATATATTATTCTTATAAACAGTACAAAGAAAAAAATCTTGTAAATAATTAACAATCTGACAAGAAGTAATTTAATTTTTATTATCATTATATTTATAAAAACAAATAATTAGTAATAACATATACTATACTTGCACGCAAAATTATTTTGGAATCCCGAAATTGTAATTTCAAAGAAAAAAGTCAAATAGTTTTTTCATAGAAGACGAAATTATTTTACTTAAAATTCAAAATTCTTTGACCATCCAGATTTATTCTTTGATTAAAGATACATATAACTGGATACTTTTTTTACTTCCATATATAGAATAGATTTTGCATAAATCTCAAAAAGTCGAAATACCTCAAAAATCCAAAATCAATTTTGAAAACATGTATAGCATATACCTTATTGATATCTTGTAATGATATGAGATATTGTTTTCTATTATTATTTAGATTTTCTATTATTAACTTGTTTAAAATCTCTAAAAGATAATTACAATCATTTTTTTCTGATTATATTTTATTTTATTTCTATAATTTATGAAAAGCTCTAGAAATAATAATCTTATTAAGTAGTTTATTTTTGAAAAAGTTGATTCTGTTGTAAAAAACTATTGTAAGTTATCAAAAAAATAGTTATATATGAAAATTTATTCTATACTATATGTACAGATTGATAAAATACATATATCAGTAGAAAAGTTATGAAGTATCTATTGAATTTAAGTTTATTATAACTTATACAAATAATTTATACATGCAGAATTTCTATAACTTTCTATATTACCAGTTGATCAAATTTCTATGTATTGTTGACCATGATTACCTTTACTAAATATGATTAACTATCAACTAATAACAGAAAAACTATTGTCCAAAAGGTCACAAAGCAATTGGACAAATATATTATAGTTGGAAGGTTTTATACTTGAAGAGGTATAAGGGGTAAAAGATTTAATGATGTGGGTTTGTTTGAAAAAGGCTAAGGTGTGAGGTTTTTAAAGGAGTAAAGAGAGGTTTATATATTAATTCAACAAATATTCACACAGAATATTATTAGTTTCACACAGAAACTATAAGAATTTACACAGAATAATTAATCAAGATCACAAAGTAAGGTTAATTATAAACAGAATAATATCAAAATCATAAAGTAAGGTATTATTTATCAAAAAGTATTTCACTAAAAAATCAAAGGTTTCAAATTATTATTTGTCACAAAGACTTTTATTAATAATTTAT